AGTAGAGGTAAATTTTTGGGGCTGGAGCTGGTCGTATCTTGAAAAATTCGTAAGGAGGGGTTTTCATAACTAGAGGTACCACTGTACTATTTCAGTGTCAGTCATGCCTCCATCTGGAAGTCTTTCCAAAGTTGAGATGTCTGCTATGAAAATTCTTTTCTGAACTTGTATGTTGCACCTGGTTCCTTTTATTAGATAACTTGTTTTGCCTGTTTTGTCTTGGTTTTAGTGATTAGTCACTCTGATGGGTGTAGAAGCCTATCTAAATGATGCTAAATTAAAACTTTTTTTGAATGGGGCCGGTATATTCATGAATTCTGTTTTTTACAGTGAGCCTGATGATCATCCACTGGCATAGCCCCAAAATGTGCTGATTCCACCCAATTGGTGGACTCTAGACTCCTCTTGAATTTAGCTTTCAATGACACAGTCAGTCTGTGGTCCCTTTATTTATATCAAAATATGTAGACACTTTTCTGCTGAATTGGCTAGTAAGACATTCAGACGTGTTAGGCTACCTTTATCCTACCTCTTAGATTCATTTTTGAGCAAGATTGCTGTCTATTTGAGTCTATTGCTGAGGATGACTAGAGTCTAGAATCTTGCACTCAAGATCCTTTTCTTTCCGAGTTTCCTTTATGATGTTGCGTTAGTCACTAAAACCCTGGCTCTGTCTTTCATGTGGCTGTTTCCTTAAGAATAGTCTGCAGTGTAGCTGGCCTTTGTCCAAGCTGGGAGATGTACACAACAGATTGTGTGACCAAGTGGCCTGTGCAACAAGCAGACTGCTCTCTCTTCACTGCAATGTTATTTTGGGTGTTATACTTGTGTTAAAAGTGAGGCAAGGGGGAATAGATTCCAGCAGCCTCTGTCTGCGATGTTTTTCAGTATGATCCCGGAAGCCCTTTCCTGAGATTTAAGGGAATATGTCATACTTGGATTATTCCTTTTCCTGTCAACAGGCTGGTTAGAAAAGGATATTGCATTTCCTAGCCAGTCCCTAAAATGCAGAAAGAGCAAAGCCTGCGAGGTGCCCTTTGAGTTGATGCCAAATCCAAGATGTTTATGGAGATGAAGAATTGTGGGGTTAAGCAATAGGAGGTACCTTGTGTCTCAGGTTGCAGGGAAAGCCACCTTCTCTGACAGATTGGATTTGGGGCCCTGGGTACTTTTTTCAAAGGGCATCTTTGTAGCTAAAGAAATGAAGATTGGCTACTGCTGGTGTAATTATGGGATTCTGTCCTTCTGTGTCATTCCAAAAAAACATCTACAAGCATCCTAGGCACATAGCACTGAAATAGCAAAACATGATTTTTTTAAAAAAAGAAAACAAACAGAGAAAGCAGTAGGTTGCAAAAGAGCCCTTTTAGAATTATGCCTACCCATTGAGCCAAACTTACATATGATTACTCAGAAGTTCAATAGAAATTATTCTCAGGAAAGAGGGAATCGGTTTGCAGTAGGTCATACACAGTCTTCCCTAAGATCTTTATACCTCAATTGAACTGGTGGAAGTGATGTTAATGTCCCCTGTATTTCATAAATTGTACTAAGTTGTACCTTGTAAAATATTATTTGTTTACTGAATCTTAATCTTACTATGCCTGGAATAGACAATTTATTAGAGATATGCTAGGGCTACCAGATCTGGGCTGTAAAGATCTGGGTGATCACTAGATGAGAAGGAAAAAATATAGCAAACTCTTTCCTGCTTTGTAGTATTCATCCAGATTTTTGCACCCCAAATCTGGTAGCCCTGTCATTGTCAGTGACTGTATTTAAACAGTACTTTTGCTGTTGCCCTGTTCAAGTTTTGTAAACAAAATAGTCTTTTTAAATATGAAAAGTCTGTTAAGTGCTAGCTCGTTTGTTGGATAAATGGGCCATCTGTGAAAAATATCCAGAGAGCCAGCTGCCAGCTGAAGCTCATGGTTATTAGCATCCCTTCTACTGTATACTTCCTTTCCAGTTATTCATCTTATGGAGAAAAACATTGATGCCAAGGAGAATACTTGCTGTTAATTACTGACATTATGAAACATTAATACAGAATTTTGGTACAGGAAATGGAACTAGTAAGCAAATGCAAATGTATACAGTTTCTTTTAATATTATGTTTAATATAATGATTGGGCTCTAGAATACCCCAAAGGAAATGTGTCTCGGCAGATACTGCCTGAGTTCTGGAATTGCTGAAATCCATAAGTCATGGCAATTATTTTTGGTTTTATCCATTATTTACTAGCTAGTCCGTAATGAGAGAGTCAGTTTGGTGTAGTGGTTAAGGCACCAGGCTAAAACCGGGAGGTCCTAGTCCAGCCTTATGCACAAAGCTAGCTGGGTGACTTTGGGCCAGTCCCTCTCTCTCAGCCCTAGGAAGGGGGCAAGGGCAAAACACTTCTGAAAATCTTGCCAAGAAAACTGCAGGGATTAGTCCAGGCAGTCACCAGGAGTCAACAATGAGGCAAGGGGAAAAAAAATCCAAAATAGTTGGGTGCTAACCTATAATAGCTTAGTTATAAACCATGGTTTATGAACTATAATGACTGGAGTCACCCCAGAAGATATTTAATCGAAAGCAAACAAACTATATTTTGCCTTTGTGTGATGTGTAAATGCAATTATTAATTCCAAAATCAATCTGGATTTATATACCTGAGTTTGCATTGTTTTTTTTATTTTTCATATTTCTAGTCATTAGTAACGACACACACACACACACGTGTGTGTGTGTGTTCTTTCCTTGAATAGGGCTTGTGGGGAAAAAATCAGTTAATTATCATCATGATACTCGAGATGCAGCTTGTTAAGTTAAACCAAGCTGAGAAATTCATCACTGGGTTTCTACCTCCCGGATCCTTTGCTCACTGCAGTTTCCTGACCCTTGTCACGGCTTGTCCAGAAAACACATCCTTTCCTCTGCTGACCTGACTCCTAGCTAAACTGGCCTTTCACTTCTAAGGATTTTTTTAATGAATAAATAATTGGGAAGAGGTGCATTAGCTTACTTGGCCAAGTCTCTCTAGCAGTCATGTTACCGATGGCTC